TCTGAACGCTTTCAAAATACCCGTTTCTATTGGAGGAGAGAGAGAGAGAGGAGAGAATAAAAGTCGATACAGCACAAAATATACAACAATTTTTTTTAATCCATATTTTACAAAGTTGTACCTAATAAAAAAATAATACGAATTTATGAAATATTTTATTATTTTTAATTAGTATTGCTAACAGTAGTAAAAAATTGTTGGATATTTTGCGCGGTATTGACTTTTATACTGTTATGACTTCATCCAATAGATATTTTGAAAGCGTTCAGAGCCGTACTCAGGAAAAATTTTAAATTATAGCCAAAACAAGCTAAAAACTTTTTAAGCAATTACAATAGTAACATCCTCTAATTAAAAATGACTAGATTTTGTCACAAAAATAGCAGCGACGTTTATAAAAAAATTAATACAATGATGTCCCCTCGAAGACGAAAAAAATGTTGACACCATTGTATAGAGCGAAAAAAGTGGCATTGTAAATATGTAATTTATTTTAAAATTCCTTTTCAAATAAAGCCAGAAAAAATTAACAATTTTGGAAAATTTTGGGTTTTTCCGGATATCTCCGAAACTATCCGGAATTTTAAAACTTTCTAAACAGCAAAATTGTTAGGTCTAAAAAACACAACTTTTTTCTAATCTGAGCCACCCCGTATCTCTTACCGTTTCCTAGATCCTAATGCTATCCCACCCTTATCTTGGACACACTGTATATCTATGAATTCATCAAACTTTAAAAAAAATAAGTACACTAATCGATCCTAGGGAAAAAAAATATATTATTTATTTTATTTATTCACTATTCGACTTATGTTTATAGCAATACTGTACAAAAATAGTTTTGGGTCAAACAATGAGACAGTTTTTTTTTATTTTTCTCCGTAGAATTGAATGGTGTTTTTGATTTTTTTTTAAATTTAAACAAGTTATCAACAATTACTGAAAAATTCATTGCTGCAAGTCATTTTTTATTTTTTTGTATTTTTGAGCATGTTTTTGAACTGTGATTACAAATTTTTTTATTTCACCAAAAAGTATATGTCAAAACGAAAAAAAATATTACAGGCAGAATTCTGTACGATGATATTTTTAAATAGAATTTTTTTTGAAAAAAGTGTTTCAGGCCGAAAAAAATCTCTGAAACCTCTTGATTTTTTTATCTAAAAAAAATTGAGGTTATTTAAGACAGAGAAAGGTATACTTTCACCAAGTTTAGTCAAAATTAAATTATTTTTGTGGAAATGAGAAATAAAAACCGAAAAATCTGAAAAAAAAAACTGTTTTTCACATTTTTCTCGGAAATTTTGAGGTTATGTTAAAAAGTCACCTCTACAAAAGTTGTAGATTTTTGCACAATCTACAACTTTTGTATTAGATACTTTTTTGCTTGACGTCAACTTTCGCCATAAATCCAAATTCACAATTTTTAATAACTTTTTCAACCCCCCAAATCAACCCTCCACCGCCCCTGCTCACGCATTTATTTTTTTCGTTTATTTTAAGCCCCTTTACCATTTCCACTTATGAAAGTCCAGGTAACAATTTTCTTTTTTTTCCCCTTTAAATGAGTTTTATTTTGATCGGTCTACCAGTTAAATACCCCAACACTTACCATGATCTTGCTCGTGGGTCCCGTAATATTCGACGGCGTGTTATTCACCTGCGGCAGGAACGGCACGATGTTGGGAGCGGGCACGTTACTCTGAGGCTTAGTCGTGCTCTTCCTGGCCACCGCCCTCACGGAATTGCTCTCCTGAGAGGCCAGGACGAAATCGTTGTTGCGGGTGTATTGGACGACGGTGGCCGACTCGTTCTGGAACGGTTATCGTTTTCAAACAAAGAACGGGCGGTGTTAACGAGGCGCACTTACCGGTCCAACTTTCCGGGACGTCCTCACGCCGGTGTGCCTGTTGGTCGCCGCCAGCTCTTCCCTGAACATCGGGCTGAGTCGCGTGGATCCCCTGTATATCCACTCGGTGCGGTTGAAACTGTCGAATAGTACCTGCACCAGCGAGCAGTCGACGCTCTGTACCGTACAAAGCCACCATTTTCCTGAAAGAAAGATGTGAAATTTGTTTCTTTACGTAAAAATCGTAAATGAATTTCGAAAACATGACAAATTATTTTGACATTTGTTTTATGTTCTGGAACGAAAAAGACACTTTTACACCAGGAAAATTAGCGAAAATAAAAGAGAAACTCGAAAAAAGTCCTATCCGCGAGATTATTGTAGAATTGTCTAAAGGAACATAATACAAGACATCTCTCATCTCGTGAGTCAAAAACTTTTATTAGCTAACTTTTCTATTTAAACAAATAAGTGAGGAAAACTGTTTTTTCACTTTGCAGGGAAAACCATCAATTTTAGCGAAAAGTGACTCTCAGACAGCTTGTAGGGAGTAAAATTATCTACAAAATGAGACTTGTTAGATTGAAATCGGTTAATAAA